TCGGATCCATCTGCTCGATCTCCCATCACAAGGTGCAGCACTGGCAACACCAAAACGTTCCTTAAGGAAAGTCAATCGTCAATCGCTGGGAAGGTATCATACATATCAAAAGCTCCTCGCCTTCGTCTCCCTCCACCTATCGTGACTACTTATAGCGAATCTCAGCGGGGATGAACGAGAGAAAACCCCTGTCTTCAGTGAAATTGCGAAACCGCCACTCCCAGTGTAGAGTAGTGTTGTGTACCGAATCGCAGATAGTTATAGATCCCTAGATCGCTGAAACTACTTAACTGTTTTGTTATATTTGTCGTTTAGCTTCCTGATGATTACGAACGGTTTAATGTCCACGGACATCATTGTTAGCTGTCGTCACCTCCACCAATTGCACACTTCGGGATGGAACTCGTAGCGTAGATGGGGACAGTTGTTGCGTAGAATCCTCTTGTTAACTGGCAAATACACAAGCCGTCTTCCAATTAAGTGCATGGTCATCCTGTGAAAGGAGTTTTCCAGGGTATTCTAGTCTGAAATGTCAGCTATAAGACATTGAAGTAGAACCATTTATGCGAAATTCGCAGGATCAACTTCATTGTATCTGTAAACAGGGGTAGTCTAGTGTACACGAATGATGAACTCTTTTACATTTTCTTCCGAACTCTGGCAGTATTTAGAAAAGAGTACTTGGCCGTAAACATATTGTCAAATACCCTAGAGAGCACTGAACGTATCCAAGACATTGGCTGCGGTTGCACAGACGTCGTCAATACGGAGGACGTCGAAGTATCGCACGCATTCGTCACCAAGAAATTGTCGTAGTAATTTGATCTTGTTGTTCGGTAAAAGACATTAAGGGAATTCCAGATTGGAAGTAATGTCAGATAGTCAGAATAGGTCTTTTTACCATCTATTTCAGCTGGCCATAGATGGTTCATTTGCCGAACGTGACTAGAACTGCGTGTCGGTTCATTCACAATTCAGTAATATATGATGGGATAAAAAGCATAACTTGACAAGACCCACAGGATGAATATGTAAAAGAAAGTTAAGATCAAAATGTTCCAAAAAAGGTGTCAGCTTATACGCCGTAACGGCGCTTCGCTGCCGCGCGACCACCACCAGTCGCGCGCGGGCTGAGTATACCGCGAGGACGCCCACCCCTACGCGGAGTCGAACCGGTGACCTTATGGTTGCAAAGCAAACGTGCAGACCACTCGGCCACCGGCCGAGGATGAGACCAGTGGTTAAACAATTGCACTTTATCAAACTATTGTGTAGCGTTTATCACTAAGATGAAAATCTAAGAGTCTTACGAAAGTCGTCATGTCTGGTGCGTTCACCACATATCTTGGTAATGCATTCCAGTGAGAACAGATTCTAAGTGAGTAAAAATAACTCCTACAATTCAGACATTGTAATCTCCGTCGCCAAACGATACGTCATAGTCTAGATAAATAAACATCCTTCAGGAAAATACACTTGTGGACGAAACACGACACAATGAAGAATTGACAGGATACGCTCCACCGACTTTCACTAACGAGATGATACAGTGGTGTGCGTGTATATGTATGTGCGGTGTCCGTCAGCTTGAGTGGATTAGGGTTTGACTTTTGGTGCACATTTGACAACCATTCCGAAGAATAAAGGGTCACGCTGTCCGCCACATCGAGCGGATTACAGAAGGGGGAGATGCTATTGATCAGGTCTACCCCTAGTTACTCAAAATATTACAGCTTTTCCTCCGTGTCCTCCCGTAACAACCTCACTTTTAACTCCAGTATTGGCCCTGCTCACCTTGAATTGATGGCGCATGTCCCTTAGTTCTGAACCACATGCAATCGCAGAGCTTCATACCCACGCTAAAAAGTATATGTACAACCAACTGGATAACTTCAATTCCTCTGCTTCTACTCGGAACCCTCGATCCTCGCCATGACTGAAGCGCAAAATAGTCAACAGCCACCTCTTGTCGATCGATATCCGCTGCCTGTATCGGAAAACCGCCCACAATATTAGAGCTCTGTGCTTGCTTTGCGATGCCCTTCAGGTAACACTAGCAGTGCTATTCCTCTGCGTCCATCCGGAGATGATACAACTTCGAGTGCCGGCAAAACCAGAGTGGGTACTGTTCTTAGTACTCAGACTGAGGCCGCTCTGGTCGATTTGACCTCAGTCGGATGTGCGCTGCCAGATTGGCCAACTCGTTCAAAGCCTCGAAGATGCACGGAGACAAACGGTGCCTGCTTGTCATTGCAGCAGTCGCCCTGCAAACTGTAACGCTAACTCGGCCAAAGACGACCCGTATCCCCAATTTAACGTGCTGCCTCGTTACAAAAAGTGCGGATGCTGCAGTGCTGGCTAACGACATGAACGCTCAAAATGGAAAACTGTCCACAGATGCGCTGCATCAAGGCAGACAAAACGGTGGGGCTCCTGTCATGATAATGGTCAACGGTAGGTGTGAAGATGATCATTTGTTTCTTGTCAGTACAGCCTAGATGACATGGTGTTCATTAGTCTCGAGCCAGCAACGGACGCCAATTGATTCAATCGCGATCAGTTACGGTTGGAGAAGCTGTGTTCAAAACTGACGCTCGATTTGGAGCACAAGCACGGGCGATTGCGATGACGCTGTGAGCCAGTCAACTAGGTGCTGAATGCATATCAAACTGTGTTGACATACAGGTTGAGTAAGCGGTTACTGAACAAAGTGAAAGGCTACTGGTCGCATATTGGCCAGACTTCTTATAAGCATATATTTCGTTATGGGGCAAACTCCATTGCCAACTAGGACACCATCTCTATGTAGTCTGGAAGTCCTAATGATCGTAGACATATTCCGGTTGGGAACGAATGTGACGGGACTCGCAAATATCTCAGGGCAAAACCGCTAGGAAAGCCGGTGATCTCAACTTGAATCAGAGGTGTAAATGGCCGTTGTCCTTGGCATCCATCAGAAGTTATTTCGACTGGTACCGGAAACGGCTAAAGAGATACCTAATGTTAGTGAAACTATATGCACGTAAACGCTTGGACCGTTGGACAACAATTTGAAAGGCCATTTAATCAACCGGGGGTTACCAAGTTCTTCATAGACCAGTGATCGCCTTCCTCCATGGGCCTTCCCTTTTGATCTGCCCTCTCGTGCAGAAGTCGAACGTGAGATCGAATTATCGAAGATGAATAAGATCGCAGAAGCATAAAGACTCGCACATGCTCTTATGAATGATTCACACGATTTGTTAGTGCAGCTGTGATAGCATGAGACTGTCCTCGATGACTGAAACGGCTCCGTTATTCCCCCAATTTGCAAAAGAGGCTCATGTTTGGAATTTGATAACCCCAGAGGGATCTGTATGATTTCCATCGCTTTCGATTTGTTTGGCTCTAACATCCTCCGTAGATTGACTGGTGTCCGTGGAGGTCGGGTACGTAAATACCAAGCCAAGCTTCGCTGGAATTGAGGCCGTACTGGCCAAAAGCACTTACCTTAATTGTTGTCGTGTCGCCGATTACATTTGTGACCCACTGTACTCGTGTTCCTCGACATCAAATATACCTTCGTTTGGGTGCATCGATATACTCTTTGGGAATGTCTGGTTGGGAAGACTGCGCGTGAGAAATACCTAAATGTGATAAGAGTGGTTTAAGCGCAGAACTTGAGCTTATTGAAGGCTGATAGTAAGCTGTCGTCGCCTTCACATATATAAAGCGGTACGCGACAGGGGTTGGCGCTACAATTTGGGCGTTGGTGAAGTTATGGAAACTGTGTTCCCTGTATACGATTTAGTAAAGGTGGAACTGCTCCCATGTGATCGACTTCTTGAGTCGGAGTATGCAGATGATATTGTCCTATTCTGTGACGGCTCCCAAACTTGTCAAGCAGTACTGGACAGATGACTAGTAATGGCACTCAACTGTTTCGGGCTGTGCTTTTCCCCCTTCATGGTTGGCAGGCATCGCCCGCTGCGCTCAACTTTAGGGGGATCAGCTATAAGTCGCCCAGGAATTCAACTACATGGCCAGCTGTATCAGGGCCCGTGGAATAGGTGAGGTCACAAATCGTGTAACAAAATCTAGAAGCGTTTTCCAATCCTCATCACATGTGGCACCAATGTGACATCACTCTTGCTCTGAAGGGTAGAGTCTATAGTGTGGTCATTCGTTCAACTCTACCGTGCGATTGTGAAACCTAGCCCATCAGGTCAACAGACATAAACAGGCAAATTGCGTTCGATCACCGGTGCCTTCGAACTTTGGTCCATGTCTTGTAAGTACACTGCATGAGCAATGAGCGTGTTCGGCGTCTTATATTTGGTACAGGAAGAGCGAGTGAAGCGCTTGGAACCGTTATATCACGCGTCAGGCAGCGATGGCTGGGCCGTTTGTTACGAATGTCATCACACTAACTCTCGTGACGTACGTAGTTTGCGCAACTGGGGTATGAATTGAAGAAGAGTAACTTAGTAACTATTAAGCCGTGTGCGCACCTTGTTCGACTTCATCAAGGTTCGGATATATGTGAGGTGTCGTGCTTCACATTTCACGACCGACTTCGTGTTTGTTGCATTGTACAGGCTAGAATAGCAGAAATGCGACTCGAACCCACGACGCTGGAACTACAGGTCGAAGCATTTACCATTAAATGCCAGAAAGCCGTAATATAGTGTTTAGAGCTGGGATGTCTAAGAGCATAAGGTGGTTATCCGTAGAATCGGTCAGCAGCACCGTTTATCCGGTTTGAATATCTGAGTCACACTGTGTCTGAAGCAAAGCTCTGAGTCATTTTGGGGTAGAAAGGCGTCGTTGTCATGATAGTGGTCAGATCGGATGGTTGTGCGTGTGGCGGAGCACAGGCGGTATGAGGTCTAAATAAAACGATTGTTATTCGTAGCTAGATAAAAGTAGAGAGAGAACACCTTTCATACCCAGACTGACTACTTGCTATACGCATGGGATTGCGCGCTTCGATCCCGACAATTTGGAGCGTAGAATCATGATCAAGGTAAGAGAATAGATGAGTATTTCGTTGGTTAATAATCAGCAGGTGAAGGTCTGAGATCGAAAGGGAAAAATAACAGTTTTGTAGCAAAAGAGTGGTCATTTTGAAACCGAACTACCATGGAACAACTATAGAAACCAAAATGATCTCACTCTGTTCCACCGTACGCATAGGACCCGAATGAAAGAAAACAAATGCAGTGATGTGGAAGTCAGAGATGTATGTTTGGATACAAGCGAGAAGGATGGAAACAGTGAAAGAATTACTCCATACGCCAACTCTCGGGAATTGCCAATTGAACGGATTCGTCTGTTTTCAGAGGATCGATGGGTTCCACCAGTCGACGCAAATGGCGCTCCTCGAACCTGACTTGCCAGCTAGCTTTGTTGCGGGGTAAAACCATTCGTGAATAGAACGGATCCCAAACCATGCCTTGGCGGACCTTACTGAGGATCTGTCGGGGATAAGATGAATAACAAACCATTATGGCCAATGCAGAAGACAGATGAAAAGAAAACGGTGTATCATACTAACAAGTGAAAAAAGTGGCGATGAAGTAAGTAAAAATAGGGATACTGTAAATAAGTTAAACACTCAAGCAAAAGTAAAATTAGTAGCATTAAATGGGAGTACCTGTAGCTCCGGTTGTCTGTTCAGGTTTTATTCTGTTCAGCTCGGCGTACAGAACAAAATCTGAATAAAATAATTCGCTAACGTTGCTTAGGCATGTGAAATCAGCGGCTAGGCTTAGTACCATAAGTGATAGACAGCGAAATGTAAGTACAAGCTCCTCCAAAATTGCGATGATGTGAAAGAAGGGAGGAGCAATGTGTGGTAATGGCTGGTCGTTTGAACTAAGCTGACCAGCGGGTTGTAGGCAAACCGAAGACAAATCAGTCGCTACCGACGCAAAGGATAACATGTGGATGAGACAAAAAGAGGAAGCAGAATTAACACATTCTAGAAGTAACAAAACATAGCTTTGTCACGAACGGCCAAACGAATCGGTTGGAACAGCCGCGAGTGGACGAAGCATGTGTTTTGGCCATACAAACAAACGAGAGATGACATGTCCAAGTATGAGTCGAGGGGGACAATACAGACGGTGCAAAAGTCGACTAAAGCAAGTAGCATGTACGGACCAATGAACACATACAGGCTGCGGGGGACGCAAAGTATGGAAAGTAACCACTGTGGAGACGCCTTGCCCCCACATATGTACAGTATAAAGGGTGTGTTACCTAACAGTTAACATTCTGATCGTTCACCATACTGTGTTTCAGCCACTGGATGGTTACTCGACACGATGCGCATACGAATCATTGATGTTAACCTGGTTATGTGTAGGTTTGCTATGACCCCCCGATTGTGTGTGTGACAACAAAACGTTAGAGTGCAGTGACATATGAAGAGTGGAAACAGTATCATTTAATGCAATATGGTGGCGGATACCAGATGTAATTCAGCAGAGTGCGCCAGGGTAGTTCGGAAGAAGATTCTAAATGATTACAGGCCATGAGTTGCCTTGGTTTGAGCAAATGGGGGGGGAACAAGACTATTTATTGTTTATCATTCATGCTACTGGCGAACCAAATACAACCGTTAGACCTGAATAGTCACCAAACTACGAGAAATAGGCAAAGAAATGAAAAGTTGCGTCATCTGAATGTGGAAAAAATACCAGGCATAAGAAACACTGGTTTAGAGTAAATAGAAGTGATAACATGGTTACCTAAACGTGACACTGAACGTGAGTGTTAGAGGATGTGCTTAAGCGACATTTCATGACAGGTAAGACAAAGGGTAGGAAGGTAGCGAAAACGAATGGAGTGTGTAACTGAATAAATAAATAACGTATTCAAAAAAAGATGGAGGCAGATTTGCGAATTACTTGGTGTTTGTTCTGTAATTTCGCTTTCCCAGCTTTGGGACGAAGCGAATACGGGTATGGTATGTCGTCCCAGTCTGGTGTGGTCCGAAGATTTTCAATCAAACTAGGATAAAGAGAACGCTTCGAAGAATCGGAAAGCTCATCATAATTTATACCCAGCTGTTCTGGAGGAGAGAATTCACTGGGCTCTTGAAGAGTAATTCCACCGGTAATAAGGGCGTTGTAAAACGCATTGACCTGTTTGGAAAGTGTAAGCGGAGAACAAAACCTACGCTTTCGTTTGTCAATGGTGTCTCATCGGTGTCGAACAACATAGAAAGAAGACCGCATTGGTGACATCGATCGGCGAGGACCCTTCCGATGTTATGTGAGGCGCATACATCGACACAACTGAAGGTGAATAAAAATTAAAAGCAATTGATCGGTACATACCTAAAGAGATGCTTCTGGATACCAGGCTCCCTCGTGGAAGCAGAAAGAACTACGGCAGAAGAGGAGTGAACAACGACGCCACTAGTGTGATGCGAAGTTTTTTTGAGATAAACTCTGGATGAAAACGGTGGCGATTTGTAGTAAACGTACTTGTACCAAAAATCGATCCGAGGAGCCTGGAATTCCCAACCTTTTCGTTTTGGTGCCAATCCTAAGAGTTCAAGGTTACTAGGCCTCAGAGAACGAATACCAAACGACATACCGAGGGTTCCGGTTAGCGTAGTGGCAATTAGAAAATGGTCGTACGATTTTCAAGAACAACATAACTGGTAAACGGAATGACTGTCCATTGATAGCAAAAGGATTAAAACTGTGCATCGTTTATTAAGAAGTAAACCAAATGAAATCCGCGAGGAATAGCTGGAATCGAGGCAAGAAATGCAGAATTACTAACAAAAACACTTTTTTGTAAAAATAACGCGGTTTAAAGGAACAGTGCAAAAAGGGATAAGACGGATGAGCATCTGAGTAGGTGACTGAGTCAGGTGGGGTCTAATTGTACATCAGAAACTCCACTTAGTCTCAACACGGATTGTTCCATAGGTAGAAAATTACACCGGGGTTTTGGAGTGCGTTTGCGAAGCAGCTCGGATATCTGATCATCATCGACAGCAGTATATGAGCAATTTGAACTGGTAATTCGCTGCAATTGGTCCATAGTGACTTACAGAAGAAGAATAATATGGAGAAAATGGGACCTGATGTAAAAACTTAATGCCCTAAGCAAACATTCAGGGTCAAGACACCTAGACTTTGTCAACAATATACCGTCACAAACAACTGGCCCTCGTGCAAACATAAGGCGGCATCAGCGAGACAGTTCCCTTGCAGCTTTTACTACCACACGTCATAATCAGCCAGTAATACGCAGATAACTCAGCATCAGACTTTAAATAGGCAGTCCGATTAGGAGACGGCCGCAGACACACCACTAGTAGCGACTGTTAGCCATATCATGTAGTCTAGGGCCAATCACAAGGCGAGTCACGTGGACTCCTGCCCGGAAAGCGAGAAGGACTGACACACCCACTAGGGTCGTGACTTCATTTCCCGTTGCCAAGTTAACTTTTACCCACCTCGATGCTTGCGCCACTTACGTATGGCAAACAAAACAAGACCCTTCTCAGTAAGCAGTGGCTGAGTATCCGTAGTGCGTGCCAAAGCCAACGCAGTTTAATTAGTGCTATCAGTTGACCTAAGGAACTAGCCTGATTACCACTGTCTAGCGCTCGCCTTCGCACATCATCGTCGCGAACATGCTGATGCCATCCATCTGACAGCATAAATGATGTATGTGATGCTGATGCGAGAGCTTCTATCAAAAACACGCTAACTCATACGAACCAACTCTTGTAAAGCAAAGCAGAGTGGCTACGCCCCCGGCGACACTCGACCAGTGTGAACCAGGTGACTTGAAGCCAATACAAAAAGGTTGGAAACATTTAAAGAATGGACCACAGTGTGTTGCAGAGATGTATGAGGTAGAATACAAGACCGGAACAGAGAGTGGAAACTTAGATAACGAACGAAGAGTAGAAGACTCATTTCAGTTCAGTTGAACAACTATGATCCGAGCACCGAAGTGCGGTGGATCCAGTTGCTATGACTCACACTGTAAGAATAACGATAAATCACAGCGGTAGGATAATGGGGTTGGATGCAAATAGAATGTAGCTAAAATGGATGTAAGAAGGAAATGCGTTAATCAGACTGGAACGAAAAGTAACAACCAGATGCAAGAAACTGCATGCAGGATACTCATTGACTGTGTGAATGCATCATGTCCGATACGGTCACCAACCATTGGTGTGGACCACTCTGAGGTCCCCCATCCACGAAGACGGCATGCAACATCCTGACTAAGTCCCACAGTCAATTTCTTCATGCTTCTATGCCGCGTCATGGGCTGGTAACCTCGCGGTTTCGCCTAAGTTGTTGCGGTCACGGCGTATAATGCACGCTGAGGAAGCCGATCAACGGGCATATGAAGGACATGGTCCAGCCTATAATAAAGTGTTGCTTTACAAGTCTCGTTGGATGGTTGGTTGGGATGTCAAAATAATAATGATAAAAGGGTACTTTAAATATGAAATGAAGGACTTATTGTTTGCTCCGCTGTAGTTCTGCAATCCGCGTAGATTCACAGCACCCACAGTTAACATCAAACAAATAAAAGGTACAATACAGGAGTAGCGCTAAGTAACAAAGTGCGTCATCCAACTGTCTTTCAAATACTGTTAGTGTCGGTGCAGAGACGACCGATTCTGGGAGAGCACTTCACAGGCAACATACACGAATGGAAAAGAAATTTCTACCCCACTCTAGACGGCTATACTGTTTTGAGAGTTTCGATGAGACCCCCTAGGAGCGGGACACATGATGGGGGTCGTGAAGAATCAAGTATGTCATAATCAGGTCGCCTCATAATCTGTGATACCGTCGGCTAAATATCCCTAATCGTTTCAGCCTCTCCTGTTATGAGGGATTGCGCATCCCGAGTACGTTCTTAAATGACCGACGTTGTGGCTGCTCCAGTGCGTTAAGGTCGTGTTTTAAGCATGGGTGTCAAACCTGAATTGCGTGTTTGAGATGGGGGCGAACATACGCACAGAGCATTAGTCGAGAAATGGAGCTATCTGTTTGAACGCCCGTCGCAACAGCCAGACGTGTTGGTTTCTAGTCCTCGAGGTCTTTCCGGATTGCCTGAAGTAACCCAAGTAATCTTGAGCTAGCACACCCAAGTCACGTTCGACAGCTGATTGTTGCAGTGCAGTCGTTCCAAATCGGTATGAGTAGTTTCTCTGATGTCGTACGGAGAGTAATTTGCATTTACTCAAGTTGAAATACGGTAAATTTTGGGTTGACCATTGATGTATCGTGTCTAGGTCACTCTGAAGCAGATGCTGGTCGGCATTCACCTGAATCCTGCGTCAAATCTTGATATCATCCGCAAACATTAGGAAGTTTGAAACGATTGCCTGTGCGAGGTCATTAATAAACACCAACATAAGCGAAAAAGATGTAGCAGACACTCGAGAGAGGCACCACAAGGTTTACTGCCAAAAAACAACTGGCGGACCTCAGCATTGCTCATCCGGTATTTCCACTAGACGTGAGCAATACTCCGCAAGCACCGGTGGTCAAACTCGGCCAAGCGTCTGATATCTTCACTGCGAACTGGCCAGGTCTGATGTATGCAGTAACACAGGCCTTACTGCGACGTTATACACCCCACCTTTCACTGACAGACTGATATCCCGCCGTCTCCATAGATGGTCGAGCCTCTGAAAAGCCACACGGGCCTTGCTGATACGCGAAGTAAGTTCCGCAGTGCTGTGATCACAAGAGGTGACACAGCTACCATAACTTCCAATGGCTGTTCGGAAATAGCTAAAACCGGAGGTGTGTCGGCCCAGTCCTGCAACAGTACTTTGCACTCTGAGGGTGCAAAGCACATGCCGAAGTATGCAGCGAAACATGTCAGTCTGCACGGTAGTGTTTGCGTAGCCAATGCATCAGACCCAAGGAGAACTATGTCGTCAGCATACTCCAGGTTTGTCAGTCGATCACCTGGCAAAACTTCCACACCAGAATAGTCTGAAAGAACCGAGTAACTCATGACCATTTCGACCACAAAGTTGAAGAAGAAAGGAGATATGGAGAAACGCTGGCGAAGCCACTTATCATGGGGAACTCAGGAGACAGTTTATCGTAGATTCACACAAGGCCTGGGGAATTACCGCAGAGACTGCATAATAGAAAGGAGTTTAGCCGGCACGCCGCTCATGGATAGGTAATGACACAAGCTAGTGCGGCCAAAAGAGTCGAAGGCGGCTTTCAAATCAAGAAAAACCACCAGTCGGTGGTCTGTGTGTGTCTCTGCCCTAAAACATGACGAAAAGCAAATATGTGGTCGATACAACCACGACTAGAACGGAAGCCAGATTAGCTTTTAGTGATTAGGTCCTCACGAGGATCAATAAGTCGTCGAAGAATGATCGCCGTGAGTGTTGAGGCAACAGCAATAAGGTTAATGCCTCGATAACTTTCGCACAAAGTACGTTGATCCCTCACGAAGACGGGCATGACAACAGATGACTATCATGGCATACTGTAAATTAAGTTATCAGTTGAGTCAAACGAATTTATTCTAACATGGTGGTAGGGATAAAGTGCGATGTATGAGTTCGGCATTGGCACTGTGGCATGTGTTAGGTTTTCAGCACCTCCGGGATAGATCTACCGGACACCAGGAGAAGCAGAATATAAGCAGCATTCCTATTGAGGTATTAATTAGTTCTACCTTCAACACGATTGCAACCCTGGCAAGTACGCGCATCATCATCAACAAAACACGTTAGCTGTGGGTGAGAAACATCTCAGCTAATGTACCGCAATATAAAAAGAAGATAATAAACATTACGAACTACAAAATTCAGAAAGCAAGTAATACAATGCTAAATCTCATAGTATGTGTTGGAGAGGGAAGCTAAAGGGATGGAGTGGAGACAAAGAAGCTTTCAACACAAACGACACTGAATTCGGCTCTTTGACAGGTTAACAACTGTATCCAACTAAACGCGTTCATCGTCCTTCGGACCCCAGCCAGGCAGTCGGGATACACTAACTGATGTCAATTTCCAAGTAAAGATTTTCATTCCACTTGATCAAGTTGCTGCCGGCCCGTTACCTTAAGGATCACAAGTCTGTCTTGTAATCCTGAAGTCGCGAGTTCAAGCCTGCGTAGGGGACCGCGTAACCATTGCGGCATTCTTGGCCCACGCGCGACTGGTGGTGGTTGCGCGACAGCGAAACATGGAGAATACATATCGGCGTGTTGCTGATACCCTTTTTAGACCAAGTTACTAGCTAGCCTCCAGTTATCTTCCTCTATCCACGCCCAGTCGCGCAAACAACGCATGTCACAAGAGTGAGTGTGCTGACACGCGTAACACATGGCCCAGCCATCGGTGCTTGGTGTGTAATATAACGGTGCTGAAGGCTTCACTCGCTCTGCCTTCATTAAATATAAGACCCCGAACACGCTCGTTGCTCACGTGGGTATTTCCACAAGCTGAAAGCTAACCTGAGAGGGCAAGCATAGTCGAATGTAGCCAGCCTCTTTATGTCTGCCGACCTGATGGGCCAGATTTCACAACCGTACAGGAGGATTGAACGCACGGCTGCGTGGTAAACCATGCCCTTCAGGGCGACTGACTGTTATGGTCCCCAAGGTCGCTCTGATTGGCTAATAAGAAGATGGCCTTCAGGCACCAATTTATTCCCCAGGAAACACAGGACGATTACATGGCGCATGCTAGCGACACTTGTATGGTGTGGTTGACCTTCCTGATCGTTCTT